GTATTTTCGGCCATCAAGGTGGGGGAAGGTCCAAAAGGACTAGGGTTGGGTTGTATGGTTTAGGGGTGATATATTCATTCTAAAAAGGATTAAAACATTTGGACATTATTCCACATATTTGTTTAAGGACTTGGGGGTCATTGTTATTAACCGGGGGTATATCATCCTCCCCTTCTTCTGAAGTGTTTGTCCTCAAACTCGGAAGTTCCTCAGGCTCGAAGTACGGGCTGATATCTTTGATATTGAATGTAGCCGATACTCCGTAGTCTCCCGGAAGGTTGATCTTGTAGGCATTGTCATTAATCTTCTCTAGGATTTCAAATGGTCCATCAGCTCTCAGCAACAACTTGGATTTGCGTTTGGTGGGAAATGCTCTTTTCTAAGATGAATCCATACCAAGTCTCCCGGTTGGAAACTCGTGTTCTTTCTCTTCTTGTTGATCCGGGTACTGATTTGCTCATTCATTGCTTCAATCTTGTCTCGGACCTTGTTGTGAAGTTCTTGGATCTCCTTTGATCTCTTTTCCACCTCCCAACTGTATTTGGTGTCCGTCATGATATGATCAAGCTCGAGCGGGGTCAAGGGGTTTGAACCATGTACAATCGTGAAAAGGGACAGACCGGTTGTCTTGCTCGGGGTGCGGTTGTAGGCAAATTCGGCATGTGGTAGTAGCTCTTCCCATTGTTTGATGTTCTTCTTTATGAGGGCTCGGAGGAGGGTTCCGAGAGTCCGGTTGGTGACTTCAGTTTGTCCATCGGTTTAGGGGTGGCTCGACGTACTAAACTTGAGTTTAGTACCCAATTTTCTCCACAGGGTCATCCAAAAGTGGCTAAGGAATTTTGTATCCCTATCCAAGACCATGCTTCGGGGAACGCCATGGAGTTTTACGATCTCTCCGAAGTAGAGATCAGCCACTTGGGATGCATCATAAGTTGTAACACATGGCACGAAATGAGCCATTTTTGAAAAACGATCCACCACGACCATGATGGAATCCTTGCCACGTTGTGTCCTTGGCAGTCCGGTAATGAAGTCTAGGCTCACGTCTTCCCATGGAGCAAAAGGAACGGAACGGGTAGGGGTAGGTGTCTTCCTTGAGGCAGCAAATGGCTCTTGGCAAGGTGGCACACGTTGCATCGTTTCACAAAGTGTTCTACGTCCCGCTCCATCTTCGGCCAGTAGTAGTGCTCTCTCATCATCATGTGGGTTTTGTCAATTCCATAATGACCAGCTAGGCCTCCTCCGTGGACTTCGTCGATAAGGGTTTCACAAACGCTGCACTTCGGGATGCATAGTTGATTGCCACGGAAAAGATGACAGTCTTTGATAAGAAATTCACCAAGGGGCCGAGATAAACACTTAGAATAAGTGTCTTTGAAGTCTTCATCCTCCTTGTAAAGCTCCTGCAAAAACTCAAAACCAACAAGTTTGGTACTAAGTACCGTTAGCAATAAATGTCTCCGGGATAGGGCGTCGGCGACCTTGTTCATGGTTCCGTTTTTGTGCTTGATGGTAAAGGTGAAGGTTTGGATATATTCAACCCACTTAGCATGGCGGGGTCGGAGCTTATGTTGCCCTTGGATATACTTGAGGGCCTCATGATCAGAATGTAAGATGAACTCCTTGCTAATGAGATAATGATGCCAATGCTCAAGTGACCGCACCAACGCGTAGAACTCGTCATAGGTGGAATACCGCCTTCTTGTGTCGTTTAGCTTTTCGCTAAAGTACGATACCGGGTGTCCTTCTTGGGTTAGCACAACCCCTATGCCTACTCCGGAGGCATCGCATTCGACTTCGAATAACTTGTCGAAACTAGGTAGGGCCAACACGGGGGCATGTGTTAGTCTCTCCTTAATCGCCTCGAATGCTTGTTGTGCTTTGGGATTCCACTCGAACTTCTGATTTTTTGTCAAATCGGTGATGGGTGCCGTTGATGGTGCTAAAGTCCTTCACAAATCTCCGGTAAAACGAGGCTAACCCATGGAAGCTTCGGACTTGCTGCATAGTAGTGGGGATCGGCCAATCCTTAATGGCTTGGGTTTTCTTCTCATCAACCTTGATTCCTTCACTTGAGATAAAATATTCCAAGAACTCCGTCTCATGAGCAAAGAATTGGCTCTTTTCGAGTTTTCCGTACAGCTTCTCATCGTCTAACTTCTTAATCACCAAAGTGAGGTGATTCAC